CCCAATTTACATTGTAACTGACTGGCTTTCTTGCATAAGTACTGGCCTGTGGGAGCTTTACTACTCCATCCAGGAAGAGCAAAGACTATCTGCAGACATTTCCTCTGCCTGATGAAGGGTGATTGTGCCTGAAAGCTTACAAAGAAGAATTTTTCCTATGATTTGATTTGGTCTAATAAAAGATATCAGATTTAACCAAAGAACCTTGTGTGCCTGTGTCCTTAGACCAACACAACTACAACCTACACCCCTGAAAAATGCTTCTTATACTACTGAAAAACTGCTATTTAGGTGTATAAAGTGGAACAGAATTCTGTCCTTCATCTATTCAGTGACTTAATATCAAACTATCTTGGAGTACAGGATTTTCAAGGACAATTCAAACCAATGGTAAATCTAGTTTAGCTTTCTGCCTCCAGTTATGGTTAGGACCCAATACTTAGATCCCAGAAGTCCTATCAACTTCCTGGGAGCCAGAAAGAGAGTATTGAGGGTACAAGAAAGATGATTTATGAATTGAATTCAGTTCCTGAGATCATAACATAGTAGCACTGACAGCAAGGGAAAGTTCTGCTTACTTCTAGATAGAGTACACTCAGTACAGATAATCTACAGAGAATTTAGAGGTCAAACTCTAGCATGTCTACTGATCATGTGCAACCTGATTTTTCCACAGCTTATAAACTTGGCTAAGGTAGGCATTTTCTTTAAAAGACAGCAAAACACATAGGCCTGGCACCAAATAAGCTCTTTGGCAGATTTCAAGTTGTTGTACCAAAACATGAAAATAATTGTGTCTAATGAACAGTGATTTTTGTATTTTAACCTGGCCAAACAAATGCATTTTTCTCCTCATCTCATTTAAGAAAACTACTGACCCATTTTTCTTACAAAGTAAAATAAAATAAAATAAAAAACAAAAGGAAATAAAATATAGTTTGAAGTAGACACTGGTCATGGGAAACTTCAACATAGTTAAACTTTCAAAAAGTTATAGCCACCTGAAAACAGTATTTTTTTTCTAACAGAAATGTCAAGTAACATTGGCTGCTTGGAGATGTTTAACCTCCCCCCCCAAAAAAAACCAAACAAACCACCAAACAAACAAACAACCCACACATTTTGTCAGAGAAAACTGCACATTACTTCTTCAACCTGGCTCCACAGCAGCTGTCTAGATCGGGCACTTCAGCAGGGCTTTTGGGTGCTTTAACTAAAGCTGATACAAGTAGCTATTGGATAAAAGCACCAAAAAACCCCACTAAGGTGCCCAATCTATACAGGCGCCGGGCAGGCTGGGTCCAACTAACTTGCTAGCTCTTCTGAGCATTTGCTGGGCTCAGTGCACCAAGTTTAGAGTAAAGCCTCATTTTGGGGGTTTTTAACATTTGCAAGCAGCCATAAAGTCTAAGTGCAACTGTTGGCTCTGCAAATGATACTATAGATTTCTTCATCTGCTAGATAAATGCAGGCACCCCGGAGGGGGGTGGGGAGAGGGGGAGAAGATGTGCTAACTTTTTAACAGTGAACAACATGGCAATTTATAGGGAAACTGGTGAAAAGTTCTGTAATCAGCAGACATTGCAAGCAGAATCCAGGTGGATGCAATTATCTGATGTCAAATGTGGCCACGATGGTAAGATTAGCACTCTACTTCTAACAAAGTGTCATGGATTTTTAATAACCAATAACAGTCTCCTCTAAGTAATAATAGCTTCAGCAGTTGTTGCTTGCAAGGTTTAGATTTTGGAATGGTTTAGTAAGGAAAACCCCCTTCACAAGATCTCCTACATACTTAATAAATTCCAGCACAGTAATCTGATCCACAAATAAGAATTAAGATGGGTTTTACAACCACATGCAAAAGAGGAGCACTTTTCACACATGAAAAAGTCAAGAGCTCAGTTTAAAACGAAAGTATCACGTTTTAATAGATTTACTTTTTCACTGTGTTAATAACACAGGCCCCTGCCACATGTTACATTTAAGAGGTGATTAACCAGTTAATCACACTTTAAATTGTGACTCAGCCACACATGCAATCAATTAGTGGTGTGATACAAGGAGGAATAAGCCACAAAGTTATTCCACAAAAAATTGTGTAATTACTTTGCGGCGGGTTCCTATCATGCCATCAACTGAACATGTGACCAGGGGTGACTCTGTGGCTGAGATCTTCACCAACTGATCAAGACTCTCTGCTGGGCAGGTTCCACCATGCATCCCTGCTCCTGGAAGCCCACAGCTGATGGGCCTCATGACTGTCCGGGTACACTTTACATCCCTGCAGCTGGGAGTCCCATCAGCTGACCTGGGCTCTCAGCCACAGGGATGTATGATGTGCCCTGTTGTTGGGAGCCCTGTCAGCTGAGGGAGCTCCCAGCTGAGGGAGCTCCCAGCCATGGGAGCTTGCTAGTTGCCAGTGCAAGGGGAGCCTAGGATTGTGATCCTGGTCTCATCCTGCACTGGCTATAAGGTGTGATGGGATCTGATGCGCAATCCCACAATCAGGCCTTCTGCCATGTACATATGGTGTTATAGCAAGGGTGATAGTGTGGCTAACACAACAGATCCCATAACTCTTTTACCTTCATTTCTGGAAGGGCTCTGGTACTGGGGAATCTGGAGCCTGCCATCTTGGAAATGAGCACAGCTGATAACTCAGCAAAGGAAAAATAGTATTCCACATAACCGATTCACATAACCAATTCAGTATGCATAATTATATTAAAAATGAGACTATAATGTAAAATTTGAATTCACCTTGAAGATTACTAAGAATGCTTGGTCACAAACTAGGATGATTTCTTAGTTTAACTGTTTTCTCCTTAATACAATCTATGTTGTCTTTTCTATTTTATTTCAGTAAGTATACTAAGATTTATTTCACAGAACCCAATATTTAAGAAGTTTTTAGAAACAGCAGTACATATTACCAGTTGTTAAATTAAGACTGGCATACAATGAATTGAAATGACTGGTAATACTCAATACTGTTCTAACAATAGCAATATACTTAATCAGTTCTTGAATTAAGACTTGATAGACAATGACTGGTCTATGTAAGTACTGATACCTAACTTTCCCTATATAAAAATTTTCTTATTATTGTTTGGCAATGCAAGATCTAAATATTATGATCAGAAACAGATACACAGTGGGCACATCTACAAGAGACAGTGACTGTTTCATAGTTTCATAGTATTTAGTGGTCAGAAGGGACCTGAATAGATCATCTAGTCTACCCCCCCGCCACTGATTGAAGCACATGCTGGGATCACACAACCCCAGACAGGTGTTCATCCAACCTCTTTTTGAATTTACCCAAGGTAGGAGCGAGGACCACTTCCCTTGGAAGTTGGTTCCAGATCCTAGCTACCCTGACAGTGAAATAGTGCCTCCTAATCTCTAACCTGAACCAATTCTCCAGCAGCTTCTGGCCATTGCTCCTCGTCACCCCAGGTGCTGCTGGGGGGAATAGGACCCTTCCTATTTGCTGCTGATCTCCCCTAACGAGTTTGTAGGCAGCCACCAAATTCCCCTTCAGCCTCTGCTTGCTGAGGCTGAACAGGTTCAGGTCCCTCAGCCTCTCCTCATACGGCCTGCCCTGTTGCCCTCCAACTAAGCGGGTGGCCCTCCTCTGAACCCTCTCAAGGCAGGCCACATCCTTCTTAAAGCACGGTGCCCAGAACTGGATGCAATACTCCAATTGAGGCCGGACCAATGTCACGTAGAGGGGAGTATCACCTCTCTGGACTGGCTTGAGATGCATCTTTGGATGCACAACAAGGTGTAGTTGGCTTTGCCGGCTGCAGTATGGCATTGGCGGCTCATGTTCATCTTGGAGTCAATAATGACTTCAAGATCCCTTTCCACCTCTGTGCTCCCCAACTTGTATGTATGCTGTGGATTCCTTCTCCCCAGGTGCAGCACCTTGCATTTATCTACATTGAAGCCCATCCTATTACCATTTGCCCACTTCTGTAGTCTGTCTAAGTCTAATTGCAGACTCTCTCTCCCTTTGAGTGTGCCTACCTCTCCCCACATCTTGGTGTCATCAGCAAGCTTGGACACGTGTTTTCCACCCCCTCGTCCAAGTTGCTGATGAAGATGTTGAACAGTGTAGGCCCCAGGACCGAGCCCTGGGAGACCCCACTGTTCACATCCTGCCAGGTCAAGTACAAACCGTCCACCACCACTCTCTGGGTGCGCCCCATCAGCCAATTTTTGACCCATCCAACTGTAGGCATCAATGCCACAGTTGCTCAGTTAATTAATGAGAATGGGGTGAGAGACAGTGTCAAAGGCCTTCTTAAAGTCCAGAAAGACTACGTCCACGGCAACACCATCATCCAGGGATTTAGCTACTTGGTCATAAAAGGCCATCAGGTTGGTCTGGCAGGACCTGCCTTTGATGAACCCATGTTGATTTCCCCTGGCATGATCTCCCCTGCTGGTCCCTCACAGATGTGCTCCTTGATAATTTTTTCAAGGATTTTCCCCAAGACCGATGTGAGGCTTATGGGCCTATAGTTTCCTGGGTCCTCCTTTCTCCCTGCGCAGTAGCCAGATAATATTGTACAGTGTGCATCATAGCACTGACAGTACCAATACACTATTCTGCAGTATTATTAGGCTCGTGAGCAGTAGCATTACTTCAGAGACATTCACCAGCACTGCTGTGCAGTAACTCTGGTTACTGCATATTTATTTAGTACTTGCTTATACAAGTACTAAATAAAAGCACAGTAACTACTGTGCGGTAGTGTCTCATGTAGACATGCCCAGTGAAAACAAAAATAATGCACATTGTACAGGAACTATGCAAGATTTCTGCCTAAATCTGCATATACCAAATCAATAGTACTTTAAAAATATTTTTAATACCACCTTTCCATTTCAAAATCTAACCATCTCTGGGAAGCAAAAAAACCCACAACACACACAAGGATCTGATGTGCATAAACCTCTACTTCAGACAGAACAAAATGCTGACTTACCTGACAGCAACATAGGGTCTTTGTCAACAGATTTGCGGACTTGGTCTGATTCTCCAGTTAAAGAACTTTCATCAATTTTAAGGTCATTTCCTTGAATAAAAATCCCATCAGCAGGGAGGAGATCACCTATTAGTAATAACATGGTATAGAAAAACCAGACGGGTTTATGAGATTATTCTTTTTCTTTAACCTGCTCAATCTTATTAAACAATGCTAAGAGTCAATAATAATTAAATATTTAATAAGTGGATTTATATAAAAATAATCATTGTGGTAGTTCACCTTCACCCTTATATTTCTGGTTGCTCTGAACGTTTAGAAACAGATCCTGTAGAGGGCCACCATTGTCAGCCAGTATGTTCAACACAGCCTTTAAGAGGCATGTACTGAAAATTCTAATCCCACTAAAATTACAGGATTTTTTTTCCTTTTAGTTATAAATCCCCTCCTAGATGATGGAAGAGAAAGCTATTCTCAAACATTCTAGTAATTCAAGAACAGGTGGTGAGGTCGTCTCAGTCTGATGGGGCCTATGGCATTTCTTCTCCTGTTTTCAGAATTCTTGTTGACAGGGCTGCTCAGTCACATGCATTTCATGGAAGCTTTATATTGCATTCTGACAGCCAAGCTCAACCCTTGTTTGCCTGGGTTGTGGACATGGCCCTTGGTAGCAGAAGCTGGTAGAAAGAGCCAAGCAGTCACTTTGGCTTCCTGTCTGAATGGAAGGAAAAAGGCATAGCCAGGCTCAACAGCATAGATGTTTCACTGGAATTTACCAAGTTGGTCAAATAAGAATGTTTTTACAACGGCAATCCAATATGCCAAAGTATCAGCACAACCCAGGCAGATTTCCAACCTGTTGGAACTCTGTTTACATGTCAGTGCATCCATTTGGAGGGCTGCTAGAGCATTCAGCAACTCTAGGGCAACCAGCCAGAGGAAACCTAGATATTCTAAGACTTCCAGGGTTATTGGCTCTGGGGCAGCCATTTTGCCAATTGCTCTGGGGCTGTCCTCCTCTTTGTGAAGGATATAAAAACTTTGTGTTGCCATTCCTAATCAAAATGCAACCATTCAAAATATGGGAATCTTCCATGAAACAGAATTAGCTTTCTCTACCTGACTCTAATCATCACCAGCTTCATTATCAATAGGAAGTGAAAGCAACACAAGTAAAGAGTTCTGTGTCAGTCCCTAGCTATCCTGCTTTCCTCCTAGAAATTCTTGTCATCCATTTATTCCAGTCACTCTCTATCCTCCAGCATCCACTGAGCTATCCAGCTCCCCAGACACCCTCCCAAATACCCCAGGTAAAAACCCCTATGTTTTGTTCAATGCTATATCCTGTTCCCACCTACAAAGTGTATTGACTGAATGACTGAAGATTACACAAGTAGTTGTAGGAATCTACATGGTGAAACTTACCATATTTCACCTGTGCAATATCACCAACTACAATCTCTGCAACTGGGATCTGAATAACTTGTCCTCCTCGAACTACAGTAAATTTCTGTTCCTGCTCAATACGACTTTGAAGCCCACGAAATTGCTTCTCTTTACTCCAGTCATTAAAAGCGGTGACAAGTACCACACAAATAACAGAGAGTAAGATGGCAGCACCTTCGATCCAGCCAGCTTCTGCCTCACCCTCATCTTCAGCTCCTGCTGCGGCAGTAGCGCACCCTAGGGAGATAAACGGAGGTGCAGCCTTAAAAACAATTGTCTAATTTATTGAGATTACAGAACAAGAATCAAAACACATCAGAAATAACAAGGATAAAATACCTACTGAGTCTCTCTCCAAAACACTATCAGAGCTACAGAAAGAGATGTGCTAGAATAGTCAGGTTTTGAGAATACTGAGACAGAAAAAATATGAGGGCAAAAAATATCATCAATATAGAGAGCAAGCATTCACCAGGATGGGGAAAAATTTATTCAGTCACAACAAGGAACTATGAGTAATAGTAATCAATTCTGTCTGGAAGGTATGGGTTAAAATTAAGAAAGGAAAATTGGTACCAGGAAAACAGTGAACCCCATTAAATTGTTTTGAGTCTGTGCTTACCATATCCCAGATATGAACATCTTGCATCCAGGTGATATTTACTATGTTAAGATACTTTAATTTACAAGTCTTTGTTGCAAATTGATTAAAGGTAAAACATGGGGTTACTTCAAACTTATATTTAAATTCTTTTACGTCTCTGTAGAAAAAGCACTGAAAAATAGCGGATTTAATATGGAGCTTGATAGCTGTTCTTGTTTTTTTAATGTTATCAGGTAGACTCCAGTGACCATATGTTCTCTAAGATGGTTTTATGAAGCATTAGTTAACATATCTCTACATACTTATGTGAGTTAACCCACCAGAGATGATTGCATTGCAGTTTGTTTAACCTATCTAAGACAACTTTGTTCAGACAATAATTTTTTTCATGCAGTTAAGCAAATTCCTTGAACAAAAACTTTAGGTGACAATAATCTAACTTCAACTAACCAGGAACATCAGGGGGAAAAAAAATCTAATTTATAACATTACCCATATCCCAGATTGACCATTTATAATTAGTAACTTCCTCACAAAGGGACGCAACATTTTAATAGTATTGTGGGTAGATTAAAATTAAATCGTAACTTTAGCACTTTGGATGTTGGTTCACATAGGTAATTAAAGTTAGAAAAAAGTTTTACCTCAACATGGGCAACAGTTTTTTTCTGAAAAAAAGTACATGACATCACTTAAAATTCCAGATGCAGTTCATTTTACATAACTTTGATAATCCTTTAAGAATCATGGGATTCATTCTTCATCAATATGATTAAAATCATGGAGGCAATGCAAAGCCAGGGTTTTAACTTCTGGTACAGAGGTGATGTTAATTAAAATTGCTCCTAGCACTAAGCTGTTGAAATATAAAGCAAAATTTAAATGAGGTAACTGTATCATAATCTGAGGGAGGATTTTTAAAAAAATATAATTGTGTGAAAAATAAGCCCAAGGCTTCAGTGACACCAGAAAAGAATAAAATATGTACCAGCACCTACATTCAGCTCCATTGTTATCAGCATGTACATGGACCTTTTGGTGGAAGTTTGATTTTATGGTTAAGGCATGAGATTGAAACCCAGGAGATACAGAACTGGGACTGAGATACAGATTCAGTTCTCAGTGATGCTACAAACTGTGCAAATCAAATTCTCTCCCTCTGCTTTTTTATTATCTGCAAAGTGGGTATAATGCTTCCTTTCTTCTATCCTTTGTCTCATCTATTTAAACCACTGAATCTCTTCAGCCTTCACAAGAGACGGCTGAGGGGAGATCTTGTGGCCGCCTATAAATTAATTAGGGGAGGTCAACGGGGAATAGGGGAAGCGCTGTTTACTAAGGCACCCCAGGGAGTGACTAGGAATAACGGGTGTAAACTAGTTGAGAGGGGATTTAGGTTAGATATTAGGAAAAAATTTTCCACAGTAAGGGTGGCCAGGATCTGGAATGGGCTTCCAAGAGATGTGGTGCTATCACCTAGCTTGGAGGTCTTCAAGAGGAGGCTAGATAGTCACCTGGCTGGGGTCATCTGACCTGGGTCCTCTTTCCTGCCAGGGGCAGGGGGTAGGACACGATGATCCATTGTGGTTTCTTCCGACTGCACAATCTATGAATCTATGAATCATTTGAAGAAGAAACTCTTTTACTATGCATTTGTATGATGGCTAACATAATGTCTGCATCTCACTTTGATTCTCTCTTATGGCTAAATTATTTATTTAGAATTAACTACTGCTATCCTTGAGACTCAATTTAACTGATATTCTAACAGCACGTAAATATTATCTATTTTTATATCAAGATAAATTAAAGCAAAATCTGTATTTAATCTGTGCTATTTTAAAACTATGCAAATACAATTGGCAGGGTTGAACAAAATTGCTTAAATTTTGAGTTTAATAGTATTTTTGTCCACAAGTGAACTCTGAATTAGGTGATTTGATTAAAAAAATGAATTCTTTTATATTGTTTATATTAATTGTTTATATTAAGTATAATGTATTAGGGCTGTGAGAAGCTTCAGTCACTGATTCGATTTGGTGGAGATTCGGCCACATTCAATGGCCAAATCTCTGAATCCGAATTGAATCAGGAGATCCTTTAATCTCTCTGAATCAAACTGGAAACCTCTGAATTGATTCAGAGAGATTCAATAATTCGGACATAGACACAGCTTTAAATCTTTTTTCTACATACCTCAAGGTACCAGGTAGCTCATGAAGGCTGAGATATTGGGGCGGATGGAGCATCCAACGGAAGTGCAGGGGGATCCTCAGTGCGCTCAGCGACAGATCCAGAAGTGGACCAGAAGCCCTTCCAGTCAGCTTCCGGGCCTGCCTTGGAGCACGCAGGGAACCCACCCTCCCTCACCCCCTGGCTCGGCAACTGGTGCCTCCTGGGTCGGGGGTGGGGGCACCTGGGGTCCCTCCATGACTGATCGCTGAGCCAAGGGAGTGCAGGGACGGGGGGGTCCCCTGCATGCTCAGTAGCGGACCTAGAAGTGGACCAGAAGTACTTCCAGTCCACTTCTGGATCCACCACCAAGTATGCAGGAGGGCCCCCCGCGCTCCTGTGGGGACACTCCATCCACCCCACCATCTCACGAACCATGCCTGGTACCTTGAGGTATGCAGAAAAAAACATTTAAAGCTGTGTTTATGGCTAAATCACTAATTCTCTGAATTAGTATTAAATCTTCAGATTTGGATTTGGCCAAATCGAATCAGGACAGTGATCCAAATCAACTAATCAAACCACTGTCCCCTGAATTGGGATTGTCACGGCGCACCTCACTGCCCCGCTCCTAGAGAGGGGAAAACTGCCAGAGGAAAAGCTCTGGCAGTGCATAAGGAGCCCTAGCAGTGATT